TTATGCACCCGCACGTGGCATCATGACGAAGAGCCAGTGCTTTCTGGAGGAGGAGGAGGAGGAGGAGCAGGGCGGCCCGTGCACAGCACGCCGCTTTTGCAAACGGTTGAAGCCAGCTAGTTCGTCTGGTGTCTAGTGCGCAAGAACCTGCTGATGCTTCCCCATCGTTGTGCTTGGTTTCGCGGAACCGAACCCCGAAGCCCGCGGTGAGGGTTAGGGGCCTCCGAACAGGCACCCAACGCTTTGCAACTCGTCAACTCTTTCGCTGCTTCCGGTTTCCAATCCCGGCCATGATCGGTTGGCAAACCTTCTCTCCCCGCCAGCAGAGCAAACCGATGACCGACTGGCTTCTGACCGTGTTTGTGGCCCCTGCTTGGGTTTGCTGTGCTTACGCCACCGCCCAGAGCGGCCTGTCGCCCCGCTGGGTTGCCATCCCCAGTGCTGCGAGCATTCTCGTAGCCAGTCCTCAGTCGCGGCACGAACGTGTGGTTCGTTCAATCATGAGTGCCCGACATGACTGTGGCCTTCGTGCTCACCTCGAACAAAAAGTGGATGCTTACGGTTCGATCGTGGGAGCGCTTGTAATTTGCCAAAGTCCCACTTGCGGAAGATTCGGGTTGCCGGTGCCGCTTCTTGCGGCGCCAATGTGGCCTCTCAAGTGTAACTATAGTTTGGCTTTGGTGTCCAGAGTTGCAGAAATTGTAGGCCTTGTATGGACGATAGGCACCTAACATCACATTCGGTTTCTGGTAGGTTATTCAGTCCGGTTGTGGCGAGGTGTCGCAGAGAAATCGTTGGAGCCTTTGGGGCACGCCGCCGTCAAGTGTTTCAGCCGCCTCAGGCTTGGGCGATGTTGACTGTTTACGTGCCAACTCACAATGGCAGCCCGTGCCACACTAGTGCTAAATTTTGTATTGCGTACTAGTAGACCAGTCCAAAATGCGCGATGCTGCCAGATACCTGGTTATATGGACTCGGTGTGGCCGCCATGATGTCGCAGACGGTGGGTAAAGAATTGTATTGCGTCGGATTGTGTTTGGGTATTTTGCTTGGATTCCCTCGCGCAAGACGTTGCGTACAATCTCTCTTCTTGTCGCTGTTGTGCAAAAAACGGGCAGGAAAAGGACGGGCGGTGACCTTGCCAAGTGCAGCGGCCCAACTTCTGGGAGTCCGCCGCGTTTCACTTTGCATGCGCCTGCAGCAAGCCCCTCGAAGAACGAAACTCCGAAGCTGTGATGTGTGCGGGGAAGCGTTTCTATCTCGCACCCTTGAATGCCCATCCACACTGGGGCACGTGCAACCAGAGTGCATGGATTGGCACCTGGAGCCTTCGGCTCGGGTCACGGGTCTCAACGGGAGTGAACGAACTTAATCCTGCACACGGAGCTAGCGGAACCGGTGTTGGCCGCTGTGCGTGTTGGCCGCCTGGCCGCGCAGTTCAAGCGCACTGGCCGCGTGCGAGCATGTGTCGTTGGCAGCAATCGAAAAGGTGTTTTGCCACCTGGTTGCGTGCCATAGCACTAGCCCAACGTAACGTTTTTCGCACTTTTCTCCGCAAGAGTTCATCCAGCGGTTTGACAGCAGACACATCATGCGGCCCTGAAATCGCGGGCAGCAGGCCATCAACTGGCAGGTCGACGAGAAACAACGAGGGCGCGCTGAGTAGCGACTGCCAACATCGCGTCCCAGCACTGCACCCGAACTGTCCGTGGCGCGAGGGGCCGGCGCATTCAAACTCCTGGTTCGTTGCCTCCACCCACAAGGCCGTGGTCGCGTTCATGGACGACAAGCACAGTCACGTACCTCGTTTCTGACTCTGCGCTTAGTCCGCCGCGCCCGAGCTCCGTGCCTTAGTGCATGGGGCTTTCCTAGGCCAGCATGCCGCGATATCCTCGATGACTTGTACGTCCTGGCCAAACGGAGAGCGCATGCCGCTCGCGACACGGTGTTGCAGGCACTGCAGGAAGGATGCGGCATAACCGATGATTCCAATGACGGCAAGACGCGGGTCTGCAGTCATGCCGGAGGAAAGCTTCCACCCGATGCCGATGCGCAACCGGGAGTTGCGCTAGCCCGCGCGGCACAGCGCAAGCTGCTGCACACTTTTGCGGAGCTGCTCCGTGCCCGCCGCTGCCGCATGGTCGTTTTCGGCATCGAAACCGGTGGGCGTTGGAGTGAAGAAGCCGCGACATTCCTTCGACTTCTCGCAGCAGCCCGCGCAGCAAGCGCTCCTGTCGCTCAGGCGTTTGGGTCTGCATGGAGTGGCATCCCCTCGGTTGCCGCGCAGCGAGCCTTCGCCACTTCGCTCCCTTGAGCTTCCTCCCGCCGCTGCCGCTTGAAGCTGCCTGACCGATTCGCGTGCCTGTGTCTGCGCGGTGTCCAGGCAGCTGCCGTGCCTGTCTGCCTTTCCAGTACGGCCTCAGCCCTCGTGCTGGCGCGGAGGCATTGCCACATGTCCTGAGAGCTGCAACTGAAGTCGACCCTCGCGCAACGATGCTGTCCGTCGACGCAGTGGGTGCCTCTGATCACGTTTCCCGGCAGGCAATGCTGGCGGCCCTGCATGCCCACCCAGAGCTCCGGCCGCTCCTCGCCTACGCTCGGTAATTCTACGGTGCCGCCAGCACGTATATCATCGCCACCCCGGAGCGGATCAACGTTGATGTCGTTCGGCAAGATGAGCGCCGCATCGAAGTCATTGGCTGCTAACGGACTTGCACCCTGGGGTGGCGCGCAACTTGCAGTCGACACTACCCTGGTGTCTCCCTTGACTTCTGCTGGAGCTCCCCGCAGGGCTGCCGGTCGCACAGCTGGCGCTGCGCTAGCACTAGCACGCAAAGCCAAGGAGCGCGCCTACCCTGAGCTCCGGCAGTCTGCCAGATGCAAACTCGTCGTGCTGGCCCTGGAGCTCGGTGGCCGATGGAGCACTGAAGCTGCCACCTTTGTGAGGTTTTTTGCATGCCTCCGTGCGCGAGCCGTGCCTGGCTCCTCTTGCGGCCCCAGCATTTCAGCCTTTGCCTCTCGCTGGTCAGCCTTGCTATCCTTTGCGGCTGCCCGCGCCTTCGCGGCAAGCCTGCTCTCCCTGCCCCTCGGCGGAACGGCTAATGTCGACGGCAGAGCTGCGGGGTTACGCGCAGGGAACTGA